AGGGTTGGAAGCTGGGTGAGAAGGATGAAGGGATTAAGCAAAGAAGAAAATAAAAAGAAAGACTCTTGGACACAGACAACAGTCTGGTGATTGCCAGAGGAAGAGGGTAAAGGGGGGATAAGTGGTGATGAAAGGAGATTTGACTTGGGGTGGTAGACACACAATACAATATTCGATGATGTACTGTAGAACTGTATACCTGAAACCTATATAATTTTATTAACCAGTGTCGCCCAATAAGTTCAATTAAAAAAAGAGAGTTCCTCAAAATTAAAAACAGAACTACCATATAATCCGGAAATTCCATGTCTGGGTATTCATCAGAGGGAAACAAAAACACTAACTCAAAAAGACATCTACACCCCTCTGTTCATCGCAGCATTATTTACAATAGCCAAGACATGAAAACAGCCTATGTGTTCATCAGTGGAGGAATAGATAACATGGTGTGTATATACAGCCATAAAAAAGAAGGCAATCCTGCCATTTTCAACAACATGGATGGGCCTCGAGGGCATAATGCTACATGAAATAAGTCAGACAAACACACAAAGACAATATGCTGTCACAAGTAGAATCTAAAAAACAAACAAACCAAAATACACAACTGAAATTATAAATACAGAGAACAGATTGGTGGTTGCCAGAGGCAGGGGTGAGAGGTCGGCAAAATTGGTGAAAGTGGTCAAAAGGCACAAACTTCCAGCTATAAAATAAGTTCTGGGGATGTAATTTACAGCATAGTGACTATAGTTAATCACATTTACCTTTAATTGAAAGTTATTAAGAGAGTAAAGTTACAAAGAAAAATAATTTGAAACTATGTATGGCAATGGATGCTAATGAGACTTACTGTGGTGATCATTTCACAATATAGACAATTATCAAATTATGTTGTACACCTGAAATGAATGTTTTATGTCAATTATATCTAAAAACAACACAAAACCTTGAACTTTAGAGCTATTCATCTCTGCACAGGGTTAACCAGATGCACACAGACTTAGAAGGCTGACACACCATGGGGAATTGGTTCGCACCTACTCTCTTAATATTTTTCACTCTGTAAAGTGCCCAAGCTCTCCTCAAGAATCACAGAGAGGTCAGCTCTAGCTTTTGTAAGCTCTGGAGTCCTTAGCACAGGCTCAGAGGTAACTTGCTAAGGTCATTAAACTAGTAAGCTACTAACTACCAAGAACTAAACTTCCTCCCGATCCCTCCCTCCTAGAAGCTAAGTAGAAAATTGTCCCCCTTCCAGTCAAACAAACTCCCCCCTTCTCACCACACCCACCCCCAGTCCCCATCATCACCATCACTACCACCACGACCACCACCCACACCCACCACCACACTACCACCCACCACCCACACCCACCACCACACCAACACCACACCACCACCACCCACGCACACCACCACTACCCACACACACCACCCACCACCACACCACCACCCACACCCACCCACCACCACCACCACTACCCGCTCTCCACCGAGGTTCTCTGGGATATTGGGGCAATAGATCACTCCGCATTCACAAAGGAATGTTCCATTTGGCTGAAGGTTAACCTGTTTGATGGTAGGACTCCTACTATTTTCCTTTCCTCTTACAGTTATTGAAACATAATTGAACCTTCTCTTCGAGTGCTGGGATTGTAACTACTGGGAGGGGTGGTGCAGACGGGGGGAGGGGTGGAAGACTGGAACCAGCAGGTTCCCGCCCCTGCCAGGGCCCTGGCACTAACTAGTTCTTCCCAGGCTAGCAGGCTCTGCGGTCTGTTGTCCCTTCCTCATCAGGGGATTGTGAATGTTGAGCTGCATGGCTCTGCGGCCTCCCCATGGCTGTCTTTTTCTAGCACCATTTAATGGGTCAAATGTTCAACATTCATCTCCCAAATGACTCCTTGCCTTCCAGAAAGTTTCCATCAATGCCATTATTAGGATCCTTTAACTTCTCAAGCTCAAAGCATTACCTATAGCCAAGATGCATGAAGCACACACCTCTTCATCCATTTAAATCACTTTTCCATATCCTTTACCTAAAATTACTGGCTTTGTCTGGTTTAAGGCATCTGAGCAAACTCAAGAATATTCACTAAGTGGGGATGAAAGGAAGTTAATTTCAATCATACACACACCCTTCCTCCCTGTTTAGTTTGTAAATGTTCAACCAACTTAAAGCATGGGTCTTTGCGAAGAAATTTTAGGTTTGCAAAAGGCGTTTGGAAAATGACCGGTGGATTATAAATATAAAGTAAAACCGGGGCACTAAAAAGCACCCCAGTTGTGTGAAACAATGAAAGATCTAAGCATTTCTGGTTTATGGGTGATTGACTCTCCTATGACTTTTTTGGGAGGGAAGGGAGGGGGCAGATATGAGGAGAATGAGGGTGAAAGCTAGACTGGCAAGCCAGCTGGAGCGAGAGGGATCTCAGCTGAAACTAAGCTCCCACAGGGCACCTCTGAACCGTGTCATTACATGTCTGTCTTAGAAGGGCCTGAAATTAATAAAAAAAAGAAAGTTCAAAAACCACTCCATGTGCAGCTGAAAATCTGCCCTTTACTGTTCTTTCTCTGCACCCTGAAGAATTCTGATACTTCCTTCAGTCCTACAGCAACCAGAGACACCAGGTTCCCCAGAACGGCCGTTTATTCTGCATTCTGTCTGCAACGTTCTGCCAAGCATCTGTGGGTCTTTAAAGGAAATGTGAAACGTAGCAAAGACACATCTGTATGGCTAAGACGTGTGGCACTGGGAAGGAGCACATAAATCAAAGGCAGAGAAAAGCCTGCTGGCAACCTGGAACTCAAATTGTGTCAGGGAGAAGGCCCACATGGAAAAAATAGATTCGAAGGGCACTGAGCAAGAGAGAAGAAAGACAAGCAGCCCCTACCAAAATTAATGAGAGGCAGAGGGGGCCGGGAGAAACAGCCTGCATGAAAAGACTCTCGCACTGCTGAAGGATGGACAAGCATTTCAGCAAGTGACATGGATAGTGCTGTGGCTGTCGGTCTCCATTTCATCACTCTCAAACCAGAGCTGCGGGCTCTGGAAGAGATGAAGGGAGGAAGGAGACAGAAAAGGGATGGAATTTAGGTGAGCGTGGAAACCTGCATCCCAGCCCCATCTTTTAGGTCACCTCCAGAGCCCAGACCCACTGTCGTAACCTCTCTCAACTGGGATAATGACACCTGCCTCACAAGTTATCCTCAGACGGCACCAGGAAAGCACCACGTGCAGGCGATGGCACAGAGGGGGGTTTCTTAAAGAGCAGCTGTTTCTATTATTACATAACATTTAAAAGCAGGTGGATGCTGTCTCTGAAACAGTTCTGCCAAGCATCTGTGGGTCTTTAAAGGAAATGTGAAACTCAAAACCCAATATTCCTGTTAGGTCCTCTACTCCAGTCCTATGATGGGATGAAGCAGTCTCATCTCCCCACCTCCCATAATTTTTTTAAATTTAATACTTATCTAGTACTAATTTAACAAAGGCAAACACAAATAAGCAAAAATTAATGTCAGAAAACTCCATGAACATCCAGCCCCTACCCTTGCCAACAGTAACAATATCTAACATGCAAGTTTGAGCCTATCCAGACCAGAATCCCAGAAAAGCAGGTGACTTTGATGAATGACTTCAGTCATGTGATTCTGGGCCATCCTGAATGCTTCCACTCGAAATAAATGAGCACTCCAACAGCAGCTGCCCAAACAATAAAATTATTCCCCTCCACAGACTGCCATGAGCACCAGAGGTTGAAGGATCAACTGGCTATATCAAAAACCTTATTAAAATCAGGAGTGTTCAATGTTCATTTACTATCATAGATTGTTCCCTGCACTGTCACAGACAATTGCACTCATCAAAAGAGAAAAACCCACGGTGTGTCTTTTTAAAGCACAAATGTTAGTCTCCGAGAACTCTAAATAGCCTTTGCTTGTCAGATCTGCAACAGAACCCATGCCCAAGCCACCCCCTGGGCAACATCCCTGTTTGGACTCCCCTGCTCTCCATTTTCTCATGGGGACACGAGCATGGCCCACTGAGCCCACAGGACGGTACTATCAGTACTGTGTACCAACCTCAGGACGAAGGTGAGACATGTACTCTGCTGGTGGACTCTGGACCATGATGGTGATCATTCTGACCAGACGTTTTGATCCCGCACGCCCTGCAGCCTCAGGTAGTATGCTCTGCCTCTTCTGCAGCACCTGACATGACTAAGAGGATAGATGCAAATCTCAGGTGTTCTAGAAATTTAACTTCATTTTACTTATGAGCTGAACTTCTATTTCAAACTCTCATTCTGCCTTCTGGCAGAAACTTCATCGAAGCCGATGTGGAGTTCTATCCCCGACCCCTGAATAACAAGTGTGGATTAGTTTAGGACACCAAGGGTCTGTGCTTGGGCGGTTGTGCTAGTCATTGGATAGTCACTACTAAAAAAGATTCCAGCTCTCATCTTCCAAATATATAGGAAGCTTGTAATTCCCCACACACCTGAAGTGTGGCCACATGACTTGCTTTGGTAAATGAGATGTGAGAGCAAGTGACATTTCCAGAAGGAAGTTTTAAGTGCCAGTTCGTGGTCCTCCCCATCCTTTTTAAAATTTATTTATTTTTTTTTCCTCTGCCAACTTTCCAGACAGAGGTTACTCCAACAGGTCCCTGAGTGAGGACAGCACTGACCTAGCTCAGAGCTTTCCGCTCATCTGCAGTAGACCTGTAGTGTGAATGAGAAATGAGGCTTTGTTATTGAGCCACTTAGGCTGGTTTTGTTGTTGTTTTTGTTACCTCACCATATTCTGGTGTACCTACAGGTGATGGCATCCATCCAAAATGTCCTCATTCCCACCTTGTCTTCAACGTGTCAATCTGTGGGGGGCATTGAGAAAGGCACCCAGTGTAAGACTAGTGGGGTGAGACCCGACCTGGGTTCAGCAACCTTTGGTACTTGAGCTCTGGCTAGGAAAGAATTCAGAGCCAAGACTCAAACTATAAGAGAACATTTATTTAGAGAATCAAAGAGGTAAAAGAAGTAATTTGTAGAAGAAATGGGCTGAGGAAACAAGTTATGGAGGCAAAGGAAGGTCAAGATGATGCACTTGATGGGATGGGGAGGAGAATGGGGAAGGGCAAGGTGCAGCCTTGCTCCTGGGAGAGCCGCTAGGTCTTCCCTCCTAAGGGTTTTAAGGGTGTCGTCTTTAGGGACAGTCCCAGGAGAAAAGCTCCGTAGACTATTAAGCAACTTTCCAGGTGTGTCCTTTCAGGGTTGGGGTCTCCACTGATTGATTGGTTGGCACCAGGGCAGGGGGTCATTATTCAATGCAGCTGGTTCTGAGGTCATCTGCGTGTCTGATGTTGCTGCTTCTCTGGGCCTGGAGCTGAAAAACAACTGAGGCTTAGATGTTATCTCTAGTGAAGAAAAGTCCAAACCGCTTGACCATCAGTATGCTAAAGGAGGAAAGGTCACCCTGGGGATGAGGTCTCACCCTATAATTGTCCATTGCTAGGCATCCAGGGCTGTCCACCTGGTGACCTCCTGTACCTGGCCCATCGTCCTTGCTCTGCTCATGTCTGTCTAACTGCCTATACCACAAATCCACACTGGCTGAGTCATCTTCCATTCCCCACCTCAAAGCCTCCTCAGATCCAGACCTCTCCCAGCTGTTTCTGAGCCCAGTGGAATGCCCGGTTGTCACAGCATCACACTGGGCCATGTCAAATTCTGGGAGGTGTTCAGGCTTATCGCCCAGGCATTCTGTGCCACCTGGAGTCTCATGACTCCCCTGGGATACCAACAAGGAAAATGAGCAAGCCTGCCTCTTCTCTAGCTGGGGCTTCCTACCATTTCCACGTCCCCATCCCTTTTCCCAAATCCTACAACAGTTGCCCTCTTCTAGCTTTTCCTACAAGCCCTACTTCCCCTATCCTTGCCCCCCAAACCTGGAACCTTAATCTGGTCTCAGGCAAAAAGCCTTATTGACTTATCAGTAGTTCCCCCCCACCCCCAATCTCTTATGCCTGTTTGGTGTTTCCTAACCCCCATCTGCTGGACTTTCACAACTCAAAAGCCAAGAATTGCCCCCTGTTTGTCTCTGAATTCTGTCAGAGCCCTTCATCCTTGAAGGCAATGAATGAGAATACCCCAGGTTGTCTGCATGGAGTGGAGACCAAGGAAATGACCAAGGTACTGGTGATCTCAACTGATATTTCAAAATATCCTTCTGTACATGTGTTCTGCCCAATTATGAAGCTGAGAATTAATAAGAGCCTCACTCAGAGGAACCCAGTGTGTGACTATTTTAAGCCACTGTACAATCTCAATGGCCCCATCGTAGTATGCTTTTGTACAATTGTTATTCTTGCAAAAGTCAGTGTGAAAGGTGAGGTAACAAAGTGAGGTCCATAAGCCACACCACTCACCACCTGGTAACATTCATTTTTCTAATCTAGGCAAACCACCACATTCTTGGTGTTGGTGCAGCAAGGAACAGATCTACCCCCACGCCTCACCTCTTTATCTAGCCTTGCAAGGCAAACAGATCGTGGAGACAGATCGCGGGCAGGTTGGCCTGGCCTGATCCTTTCGGGGGCCGGGAGCCAGTGTCCGGAAGTGTGGAATTCGGGGAGGGACCAGGGAGCTGGAGGGGAACCGCGCCGGGGCGGTCAGGAGGGGAGGGGTCAGGGCCCCAGGGGCGGGGCGGCGAGGTGGGCGGGGCCGGGGCGGGCCCGCGGGGGACCGGGCTGTGGAGTGACGGCCCGAGGGGCGGGGCGGCGGAGGGATCCGGCCTGGGGAGTCGGTCCGGACCCGGGCCTGGGACTTCCGAGCCAGATCTTCCCACGGCCGGAGCCCCGCACCTGCGCCCTCGGAGCGCGTCTCGGACGCCATGGCCGCCGCCGCGGGCTTGCGGGCCTTCAGGGCCAAGGTGCCCGACTGGCTCCGGCACGGCCGGTGCGTTCCGCTCGCCGCCGGCTTCTGCAGCGGAGGGCCCGCCGGGGCCGGGCAGCCGGAGCCGGGGTCGCGACTCACGAGCTCGCGGCAGCGGGACGGCATCAGGTCAGCGGCGGGGCGCGGGCTGCAGGCGTGCGGGGCTGTTCCCGGGTGGGCCGGGCTGGCGGGAGAGAGCTGGGCAGAGGCCGCCCGGCACCCCACGCGGGGTCCCACGCGGGCTCGGTCGGTGGCGGCGCCGACTGCCGCCCTGGACCCGCGTTACCCGTCTCCGAAGGAATCGCGGATGCGGTGCTTAAAGGAGCCCCTGCCAGGGCGCAGGAGCGTTTGGGACCGTGCAGGACCCACAGGAGGACCTCAAGTGGGACTGCCTCGACGGCCCCGAACCCTCAGACCCGCGGGCACGGGTGGGCAGCTCTGCCGGTGCCCCCGCCGCGCGCCCCTGAGAAAGCCCTGCCTGGAGGGTCGGGGCCAGGAGCGGGCCTGGCTCCACGGCCTGGGGAGGCCTGGCAGAGCCACTGCTTGCCCGCACCCAGAAGTGCCCAGTCTGTAAACAGTGAAGGACACACCGTCCCGAGCCCTGCCCTTTGTCTCCACGGGCCCAAGCCCTTTAAAACCACCCCTGTGCACAGTGCAAGCCCCTTAAAAACACCCCTGTGCACAGTGCAAGCCCCTTAAAACCACCCCTGTGCACACAGTGCAAGCCCCTTAAAACCACCCCTGTGCACAGTGCAAGTCCCTTAAAAACACCCCTGTACAGAGTGCAAGCCCCTTAAAACACACCTGTGCACACAGTGCAAGCCCCTTAAAATACCCCTGTGCACTGTGCAAGCCCCTTAAAACACCCCTGTGCACAGTGCAAGCCCCTTAAAAACACCCCTGTGCACAGTGCAAGCCCCTTAAAAACACCCCTGTGCACAGTGCAAGCCCCTTAAAAACACCCCTGTGCACAGTGCAAGCCCCTTAAAACACCCCTGTGCACACAGTGCAAGCCCCTTAAAAACACCCCTGTGCACAGTGCAAGCCCCTTAAAACACCCCTGTGCACAGTGCAGGCCCCTTAAAAACACCCCTGTGCACAGTGCAAGCCCCTTAAAACCACCCCTGTGCACAGTGGAGGCCCCTTAAAAACAACCCTGTGCACAGTGCATGCCCCTTAAAACCACCCCTGTGCACAGTGCAAGCCCCTTAAAACACCCCTGTGCACAGTGCAGCCCCCTTAAAAACACCGCTGTGCACAGTGCAAGCCCCTTAAAACCACCCCAGTGCACAGTGCAGGCCCCTTAAAAACACCCCTGTGTACAGTGGAAGCCCCTTAAAACCACCCATGTGCACAGTGCAGGCCCCTTAAAATCACCCCTGTGCACAGTGCAAGTCCCTTAAAAACACCCCTGTACAAAGTGCAAGCCCCTTAAAACACACCTGTGCACACAGTTCAAGCCCCTTAAAAACACCCCTGTGCACAGTACAAGCCCCTTAAAAACACCCCTGTGCACAGTGCAACACCCTTAAAACACCCCTGTGCACAGTGCAAGCCCCTTAAAACCACCCCTGTGCACAGTGCAAGCCCCTTAAAACACCCATGTGCACAGTGCAAGCCCCTTAAAACACCCCTGTGCACAGTGCAAGCCCCTTAAAACCACCCCAGTGCACAGTGCAGGCCCCTTAAAAACACCCCTGTGCACAGTGCAGGCCCCATAAAAACAGGCATGTGCACAGTGCAGGCCCCTTAAAACCACCGCTGTGCACAGTGCAGGCCCCTTAAACTACCCCTGTGCACAGTGCAAGCCCCTTAAAAACACTACTGTGCACAGTGCAGGCCCCTTAAGAACACCCCTGTGCACAGTGCAAGCCCCTTAAAACCACCCCTGTGCATAGTGCAGGCCCCTTAAAAACACCCCTGTGCACATTGCAAGCCAGTTAAAACAGCCCTCTGCACACAGTGCAAGCCCCTTAACACCCCTGTGCACTGTGCAAGCCCCTTAAAACAGCCCTCTGCACACAGTGCAAGCCCCTTAACACCCCTGTGCACTGTGCAAGCCCCTTAAAAACACCCCTGTGCACACAGTGCAAGCCCCTTAACACCCCTGTGCACAGTGCAAGCCCCTTAAAAACACTACTGTGCACAGTGCAGGCCCCTTAAACTACCCCTGTGCACAGTGCAAGCCCCTTAAACTACCCCTGTGCACAGTGCAAGCCCCTTATAAACACCCCTGTTCACAGTGCAAGCCCCTTAAAACAGCCCTCTGCACACAGTGCAAGCCCCTTAACACCCCTGTGCACTGTGCAAGCCCCTTAAAAACACCCCTGTGCACAGTGCAAGGCCCTTAAAAACACCCCTGTGCACACAGTGGAAGCCCCTTAAAACACCCCTGTGCACAGTGCAAGCCCCTTAAAACACCCCTGTGCACACAGTGCAAGCCCCTTAAAAATACCCCTGTTCACAGTGCAAGCCCCTTAAAACACCCCTGTGCACAGTGCAAGCCCCTTAAAAAAACCCCTGTGCACAGTGCAAGCCCCTTAAAACACCCCTGTGCACAGTGCAAGCCCCTTAAAAAATACCCCTGTTCACAGTGCAAGCCCCTTAAAACACCCCTGTGCACAGTGCAAGCCCCTTAAAAACACCCCTGTGCACAGTGCAAGCCCCTTAAAACACCCCTGTGCACAGTGCAAGCCCCTTAAAACACCCCTGTGCACAGTGCAGGCTCCTTAAAAACACCCCTGTGCACAGTGCAGGCCCCTTAAAACCACCCCTGTGCACAGTGCAAGCCCCTTAAAACACCCCTGTGCACAGTGCAGGCCCCTTAAAAACCACCCCTGTGCACAGTGCAAGCCCCTTAAAACACCCCTGTGCACAGTGCAGGCCCCTTAAAAACACCCCTGTGCACAGTGCAAGCCCCTTAAAACACCCCTGTGCACAGTGCAAGCCCCTTAAAACACCCCTGTGCACAGTGCAGGCTCCTTAAAAACACCCCTGTTCACAGTGCAAGCCACTTAAAACCACCCCTGTGCACAGTGCAAGCCCCTTAAAACACCCCTGTGCACAGTGCAGGCCCCTTAAAAACACCCCTGTGCACAGTGCAGGCCCCTTAAAAACACCCCTGTGCACAGTGTAGGCCCCTTAAAAACACCCCTGTGCACAGTGCAAGCCCCTTAAAACACCCCTGTGCACAGTGCAGGCCCCTTAAAAACACCCCTGTGCACTGTTCAGGCTCCTTAAAACCACCCCTGTGCACACAGTGCAGCCCCTTAAAAACACCCGTGTGCACAGTGCAGGCCCCTTAAAAACACCCCTGTGCACAGTGCAGGCCCCTAAAACCACCCCTGTGCACAGTGCAAGCCCCTTAAAACCACCGCTGTGCACGGTGCTGGCCCCTTAAAAACACCCCTGTGCACAGTGCAGGCCCCTTAAAAACACCCCTGTGCACAGTGCAGGCCCCTTAAACTACCCCTGTGCACAGTGCAAGCCCCTTAAAACCACCCCTGTGCATAGTCAGGCCCCTTAAAAACACCCCTGTACACAGTGCTAGCCCGTTAAAACACCCCTGTGCACAGTGCAGGCCCCTTAAAAACACCCCTATGCACAGTTCAACCCCCTTAAAACACCCCTGTGCACACAGTGCAAGCCCCTTATAAACACCCCTGTGCACAGTGCAAGCCCCTTAAAACACCCCTGTGCACACAGTGGAAGCCCCTTAAAACACCCCTGTGCACAGTGCAAGCCCCTTAGAAACACCCCGTGTACAGTGCAAGCCCCTTAAAACACCCCTGTGCACACAGTGCAAGCCCCTTAAAAATACCCCTGTTCACAGTGCAAGCCCCTTAAAACACCCCTGTGCACAGTGCAAGCCCCTTAAAAACACCCCTGTGCACAGTGCAAGCCCCTTAAAAACACCCCTGTGCACAGTGCAGGCCCCTTAAATACACCCCTGTGCACCGTGCAGGCCCCTTAAAACCACCCCTGTGCACAGTTCAATCCCCTTAAAAACACACCTGTGCACAGTGCAGGCCCCTTAAAAACACCCCTGTGCACAGTGCAGGCCCCTTAAAACCACCCCTGTGCACAGTGCAAGCCCCTAAAAACACCCCTGTGCACAGTGCAGGCTCCTTAAAAACACGAGTGTGCACAGTGCAGGCCCCTTAAAAACACCCCTGTGCACAGTGCAAGCCCGTTAAAACACCCCTGTGCACAGTGCAGGCCCCTTAAAAACACCCCTGTGCATAGTTCAACCCCCTTAAAACACCCCTGTGCACACAGTGCAGGCCCCTTATAAACACCCCTGTGCACAGTGCAAGCCCCTTAAAACACCCCTGTGCACACAGTGGAAGCCCCTTAAAACACCCCTGTGCACAGTGCAAGCCCCTTAGAAACACCCCGTGTACAGTGCAAGCCCCTTAAAACACCCCTGTGCACACAGTGCAAGCCCCTTAAAAATACCCCTGTTCACAGTGCAAGCCCCTTAAAACACCCCTGTGCACAGTGCAAGCCCCTTAAAAAAACCCCTGTGCACAGTGCAAGCCCCTTAAAACACCTCTGTGCACAGTGCAAGCCCCTTAAAAACACCCCTGTGCACAGTGCAAGCCCCTTAAAAACACCCCTGTGCACAGTGCAGGCCCCTTAAATACACCCCTGTGCACCGTGCAGGCCCCTTAAAACCACCCCTGTGCACAGTTCAATCCCCTTAAAAACACACCTGTGCACAGTGCAGGCCCCTTAAAACACCCCTGTGCACACAGTGCAAGCCCCTTAAAACACCCCTGTGCACAGTGCAAGCCCCTTAAAACCACCCCTGTTCACACAGTGCAAGCCCCTTAAAACCACCCCTGTTCACACAGTGCAAGTCCCTTAAAACCACCCCTGTGCACAGTGCAAGCCCCTTAAAACACCCCTGTGCACAGTGCAAGCCCCTTAAAACCACCCCTGTGCACACAGTGCAAGCCCCTTAAAAACACCCCTGTGCACAGTGCAGGCCCCTAAAAACACCCCTGTGCACAGTGCAGGCACCTTAAAAACACCCCTGTGCACAGTGCAGGCCCCTTAAAAACACCCCTGTGCACAGTGGAAGCCCCTTAAAACCACCCGTGTGCACAGTGAAGGCCCTTTAAAAACACCCCTGTGCACAGTGCAGGCCCCTTAAAACCACCCCTGTGCACAGTGGAAGCCCCTTAAAAACACCCCTGTGCACAGTGCAGGCCCCATAAAAACACCCCTGTGCACAGTGCAGGCCCCTTAAAACCACCGCTGTGCACAGTGCAGACCCCTTAAACTACCCCTGTGCACAGTGCAAGCCCCTTAAAAACACTACTGTGCACAGTGCAGGCCCCTTAAGAACACCCCTGTGCACAGTGCAAGCCCCTTAAAACCACCCCTGTGCACAGTGCAGGCCCCTTAAAAACACCCCTGTGCACATTGCAAGCCCGTTAAAACACCCCTGTGCACAGTGCAGGCCCCTTAAAAACACCCCTGTGCACAGTGCAAGCCCCTTAAAACACCCCTGTGCACACAGTGCAAGACCCTTAAAAACACCCCTGTTCACAGTGCAAGCCCCTTAAAACACCCCTGTGCACAGTGCAAGCCCCTTAAAACACCCCTGTGCACACAGTGCAAGACCCTTAAAAACACCCCTGTTCACAGTGCAAGCCCCTTAAAACACCCCTGTGCACAGTGCAAGCCCCTTAAAAACACCCCTGTGCACAGTGCAAGCCCCTTAAAAACACCCCTGTGCACAGTGCAGGCCCCTTAAATACACCCCTGTGCACAGTGCAGGCCCCTTAAAACCACCCCTGTGCACAGTTCAATCCCCTTAAAAACACACCTGTGCACAGTGCAGGCCCCTTAAAACACCCCTGTGCACAGTGCAGGCCCCTTAAAAACACCCCTGTGCACAGTGCAGGCCCCTTAAAACCACCCCTGTGCACAGTGCAAGCCCCTTAAAACACCCCTGTGCACAGTGCAGGCTCCTTAAAAACACGAGTGTGCACAGTGCAGGCCCCTTAAAAACACCCCTGTGCACAGTGCAGGCCCCTTAAAAACACTCCTGTGCACAGTGTAGGCCCCTTAAAAACACCCCTGTGCACAGTGCAAGCCCCTTAAAACACCCCTGTGCACAGTGCAGGCCCCTTAAAACACCCCTGTGCACTGTTCAGGCTCCTTAAAACCACCCCTGTGCACAGTGCAAGTCCCTTAAAACCACCCCTGTGCACACAGTGCAAGCCCCTTAAAAACACCCGTGTGCACAGTGCAGGCCCCTTAAAAACACCCCTGTGCACAGTGCAGGCCCCTAAAACCACCCCTGTGCACAGTGCAAGCCCCTTAAAACCACCGCTGTGCACGGTGCAGGCCCCTTAAAAACACCCCTGTGCACAGTGCAGGCCCCTTAAAAACACCCCTGTGCACAGTGCAGGCCCCTTAAAAACACCCCTGTGCACAGTGCAGGCCCCTTAAAAACACGCATGTGCACAGTGCAGGCCCCTTAAAACCACCGCTGTGCACAGTGCAGGCCCCTTAAAACCACCCGTGTGCACAGTGCAGGCCCCTTAAAAACACCGCTGTGCACAGTGCAGGCCCCTGAAAACCACCCCTGTGCACAGTGCAGGCCCCTTAAAAACACCCCTGTGCACAGTGCAAGCCCCTTAAACTACCCCTGTGCACAGTGCAAGCCCCTTATAAACACCCCTGTTCACAGTGCAAGCCCCTTAAAACAGCCCTCTGCACACAGTGCAAGCCCCTTAACACCCCTGTGCACTGTGCAAGTCCCTTAAAAACTCCCCTGTGCACAGTGCAAGCCCCTTAAAAACACCCCTGTGCACAGTGCAAGCCCCTTAAAAACACCCCTGTGCACACAGTGGAAGCCCCTTAATACACCCCTGTGCACAGTGCAAGCCCCTTAAAAACACCCCTGTGCACAGTGCAAGCCCCTTAAAACACCCCTGTGCACACAGTGCAAGCCCCTTAAAAACACCCCTGTGCACAGTGCAAGCCCCTTAAAACACCCCTGTGCACACAGTGGAAGCACCTTAAAACACCCCCGTGCACAGTGCAAGCTCCTTAAAACACCCCTGTGCACACAGTGCAAGCCCCTTAAAAACACCCCTGTGCACAGTGCACGCCCCTTAAAACACCCCTGTGCACACATTGCAAGCCCCTTAAAACACCCCTGTGCACTGTGCAAGCCCCTTAAAAACACCCCTGTGCACAGTGCAAGCCCCTTAAAACCACCCCTGTGCACAGTGCAGGCCCCTTAAAAACACCCCTGTGCACAGTGCAAGCCCCTTAAAAACACCCCTTTGCACAGTGCAAGCCCCTTAAAACCACCCCTGTGCACAGTGCAGGCCCCTTAAAAACACCCTGTGCACAGTGCAAGCCCCTTAAAACCACCCCTGTGCACTGTTCAGGCCCCTTAAAAACACCCCTGTGCACAGTGCAAGCCCCTTAAAAACACCCCTTTGCACAGTGCAAGCCCCTTACAACCACCCCTGTGCACAGTGCAAGCCGCACCATGAAGTCAAGGTTGCAGGGCCTCAAGCCCCATCCAGGCCTCAGCCTGACATTTGCCTGGCCTGTCAAGGACCCCATGATAGGCCCGTTTAGCATATCTACGTATTTAAAAGTCACACACTAACTGCTAAATGTGTTTTCTTCTCCTGCCCTGACATGTAGTACTTCATAAAACCTGGAAGGTCATGTTTGAATTTACAACCCTCAGGCTCCTAGGAGTCCCCCCACAGTGGAGAGCCGGCTGCTAACCGGCAGTTTTTCTTTTTCTTCCCAGCTTCTGCTCACCACTCTGGCCTCTTCACCCCTCCTTCCCGCTGCTCTTCCAGAGGCTTGGCCCATAAACCTGTAGACACCCCATCCACATGCCCTCTCTGTCCTCTCACTCCCCACAGACACTTCCTCTTGGTCAGTCCCAGGACCTAGGGGTGCCACTGCACAGTCAGGGAACTCCAGGGTCTCAGGTAAGGGCAGCAAGGTTTGGAAGGGGGAGGTGATTCCAGGCAAACACTTCCCATTATCCTAGTGGTGTCCTGCTCCCCTGGATGGGCAGAGCTGGGAGGAGGCCCAGAGCACCGTGTTCCAAAGTGCAGGACCAGGCAGGGGCCCGTCCTGCCCATCTTCAAAGGCACTTCTGCTTCTGCAAATTTGGTTCCATCTGGTCAGGAGCCTGACTTGTGGCATGGCAGCCCAGTTGTGAAAGGAGGCCTGGTTGAGTTCTCCAGAGTTAAACACGAATCAGGAAGGGAGATAGAGAAGAACAACCTATCATAAATGCTGGGAATTGTTCAGTAGGAAGGAGGCCCCCAAATCCAGCATGGAAGCAGCACTGTGTAACTAAGTAGGTGAGCTCGAGCAGCCCAGTCAAGCTTGCAGTGTTCCTTTTCAAAGCTGTTCCTCTCAGCAATAGATGAGGGCCAGCTATGAATTGGGTATTGCTCTAGGCACGAGCAGGAGCTCTGAAGGTGGCTGGCATTTAGATGTTAGCAGAAAGACTAGGAGCCCATGGAAGAAGTAGAGGAAGGACTAAAAAGCCAGGAGAGAAGGCATGCGTTTCCAGAAGGAGAGCATGATCCAGATGGCCCCTGGGTTCGGTTCAGACGATTAGGAGCCCTTAGGTGCGAATAGTGTTAGTGGAGTGGCAGGAACAGGGGCAGGAAGCCTGGTTCATGACACTGGTTGAAAAGTGAACTCAGCAACTTAGAGCACACTCAAAGGGTGTGTCATACGCAGGCCAAAGGATTAATGAGACCCATCTGCGCAGACACTGCCATGAAGCACTGGATCTTTTTACACAATTTTGCCTGAGGCCTTAGACTTTTAATTAAGCGTCTGTCATGGATAGGATGGCAGCTTTATGAGTATACTTCAGCAGGCACATCCATTATTTTACTGGAAGGTTTATCAGCAATTCTGTCACCACCATCTCCAGGTCACTCCCCCCACCCCCAAATACAGGTTTCAAAGTCAGCATATCAGCTGCAAGTCATTTTTGTACTTAGGAGACAGCATGCACATGAGAAACAATGATGAATATCACAGCCATCTAAAGGTGGCAGCAAAATGGAAACGGTATTCCAAAGAAAAGGGTATTACACTGAGATTCAGTCATCAAAGTGGTTTCCCAGAAAACAGTGGCAAAGGAGGCTATTTATGGGGAATCCAAGTTGACACATAGCAGTAGGAATATCAGATTCGAAAAAGAATGAGGAAGGCTGAAAAAATGTGGGTGGAGGCTGATGGGAAACATATAAAACATATATTAATAATCTGGTGTTTGGTTTGCTTGTTCCTTATAATAGCAAAAATAAGACATTTCTGTGTATGGGCAGTACGATGACAATACAGGCGAATCAGCATACTTAAAAGAGTGAGCAGGCCTCTGAATGCCAGCTTCCAGTGAGATAACACGTCCAAAAGAGCCCTCTTGCTGTATGGTTCTGTCCTTTTGTTCTTCACATCCCATCCTATGTTCAGGCAGCATGAATTATTGTGCAGAATTATAGGATGCCACTATAAGAAATGGAAAAATGCTGTCATATGTGTGTATGGGCAGCTGCACCTTGGCTGCCTCTTCGGTGCGGTGGGTAGGAGGAGATGGGGGCAGGTTCTTGGTTCTTTTCCTAACCTAATTTATTTCTGAGGAACAATGGGAAGAAGTTGAAGGTGGCACCGTGTATCAGATTCCTCTGCCTCCTGCCGCCATCTTACAAACTGTGCAGCCTCTAGGTATGGGCGGCAATGATTTTGGAACAACTTTGACTTGCCCTTTTGGTGCTGACAGCAATGTTTCTGACAGCAAATCTGAAAAAGAAACAAATCGAGGGAAGAGGGAGAAAGCACAGCCTGCATTTCCGGACGTCTCCTTGTTTTGACTTAGCCGTAACTCCGGAGAGTTGACAGACCATCTCAGTTGCCTCTAAGCACCAGCAGTTCTCTTTTCTGGTGTTTTAAAAATAGCTCCCAAATTAGAAGGAAATGCAGGGGTCCTCACTTGTTTTGACTGGTGCATGACCCAGTAATTATCAAATGTTCTTCGCAGGAACATTGTCTTGAGCAATCCAAAGAGGAGGAATGCGCTGTCACTGGCAATGCTGAAATCTCTCCAAAGGGACATTCTTCATGAAGCTGAAAGCACAGATCTGAAAGTCATTATCATTTCAGGTACTTCTCTGATATCCTTCCTCAGGGTGCTGAAGACTTCTCTCAAAATTCTTTTGTTGACTGGGGCAGTCCCTCAGTTAATGGGAGAATTGTTTGGAAGCTCCTTTACAAGAACATTCATTATGAAAAACTATTGTGTATTTGGAGGGCTTGGTCCTAACACTAATTTTTGTCGTTGTTGACACTATTTTTCCCTAACACTGCTAACTGGAAATTATAGCAAAGATTACTGTGCAGGGAAAATATCTTTCCTTTTTGTCAGATACATAGCATCCCCATTGAAATCAGATAATTGGTTTCCTCATGGACCGGATAAGATGAGTTTAATCACTGATCCGTTGGGTAGCCTAGCAAGTCGATGGGACCAGGCTGCTCAAGCATTTGATTGGTTTATCTGTTCCTACCAAACTTTCAACCAATATCTGCAATCTTCTTCAGTTTGCTCATTTCTTTCCTTGCTCTTCTCCAGTAAAAGTTGTTAATGAATTATCTAGTGATGATGGTGATGGTCTAAGTAATATAAGTGTCAGCATTTTAAAGCATCCATAGAAAAATAAAATGGAGGATACCCTGTGATATACTTTTGTTGCTATAGAAATTAAGGGTTAGTATTTCTAGAGGCAGATACTCAGAATGTTACCTTATCTATGGTTGAATATAAGTTTTCAACTGTTGAAAAGAAATAGGACAGATATCGTTCGTCAGCCACGGGGATGTTACCCAGATGCAGCAAAGACAGTTAACTTCCAGACAACACAATTCCCTCACTTGTTTAAAGGGAATAATATTGCTCATCAAAAGAGTCACAACAAAAGGAAAATATGAGAAAGTGTTACCAGCTTATCAGTGGAATTGCATTTTGTTGTTATTAATCTTAACATTAACAATAAAACCACATCCTTAGGTCCCATGTTAAAAATAAAGAGGCTCTCACCCTAGCTGGTTTGGCTCAGTGGATAGCGCGTCAGCCTGTGGACTGAAGGGTCCCGGGTTCCATTCCGGTCAAGGGCATGTGCCAAGTTTTTATGCTCAATCCCCAGAAGGGGGTGTGCAGGAGGCAGCTGAGCAATGATTCTCTCTCATCATTGGTGTTTCTGTCTCTCTCCCTTTCCCTGTCTCTCTTTAATCAATAAAACAATATATTTTTTAAAAATAAAGAGGTTCTCTTTACCCTCTGACCTCCCTGATTGCAGCCTGCACGGATGGCCATTGTCTGTAGACTAAATGACAAGGTCGCCACAGAAGACACAGTGGATTTTGATGGACCTACATGAGTCAAAAATTTAGGCCAGATCAAGTCCAAAAACAAAACTGAGACTGGAGGGACAACTCTGAAAGAAGTCGTCCATCTGCTTTGGTTACTCATGTGTAATTGCACGTGTTCATTGGTTTCCACCACGGACCTTTTAGAGTACAGATGCCTCATGTTGAATTGTCATCACAAAATACTGGCTACAACTTTTCCAGTTAACTGGAATTATTCTTACCAAATTGGGCCATTAACTTTCTGTGTCCACAGCAGTGATACAATTGTTCATTAAAATTATTTAATTTACAAATAAATGACCTTCCCAGTTCTGCTGTTTACACCTTTTTATTTTATTTTCTCAATTGGAACCATTTGCAGCTGAGGGACCTGTATTTTCTTCTGGGCATGATTTAAAGGAACTGACGGATGAGCAAGGTCCAGAATATCACACTGAAGTATTTCAAACCTGTTCTGAGGTAAGCCAGAGGACAACTTGCATTGCAAACCTGAAAATGATAATTACACACATTAAATATTGGATTAGGCTTCTAGTTTACAGGTAAGGTTTTATCTGTGAGACCTAACCAACTGCAGAACTACTAAAACCTCTGTGGCCATTGGTGAGTCCTTCATCCAAGCAACAATTTGGTTTAGACTTTTAAAAAGCAACCATAGTTTGATATGTGATATGCCAAAGACAGTGAAATATATGTTGGTATTAGTAGCTGCCATCTCCAGCATCATGGGTATGTCTTGGTATATATGTCTTAAGAGGTAAAGGGTAGAAATGTACATCTTTATAGAGAATCCAAGATTATAATTTAATTTTTTAACTAAAACAGTTCTGTTAATGGGAAAGAGAGAACATTTATAAATGGAATAACAGTAACCATTTTAAAATTCTGGAGACTTATGAGGGGAACTGGGTATCACATGAGCAAGTTTTTGGCTGCTCTCTACCAATAGCACTGTTTTAGGAATTTTATTTATTACTAGAGGCCCGATGCACGAAATTCGTGCAAGAGTAGGCCTTCCTTCTCCTGCCTGCCAGCACCAGCTTCCCTCTGGCACCGGGGACCCGGGCTTCCCTCTGGCCGCCAGCAGGCATCTGGGACCTGGCTTCCCTCGCAGCCCCAGCTTTGTCCAGAAGGCCGTCCCAAAGGACGTCTGGTCTAATTAGTATATTATGCTTTTATTATTATAGATTATCATTTTTAAAAATAGGTTTTTATTGCTTTCAGAGAGGAAGGGAGAGGGAGATAGAGAACATCAATGATCAGGGTGAATTATTGGCTGCCTCCTGCACGTCCCACACTGTGGATCGAGCCCACAACCCGGGCATGTGCTCTGATCGGGAATCCAACTGTGACCTCCTGGTTCATAGGTGGACACTCAACCACTGAGCCACACTGGCTGGGCTTTTATTTATTTAGATGACAGGGTGTTCCCTGCCATTTTAATAGAATTGAGAGAATATTCATGGTGGTAATTTGAGAATTACTAGAGAAATTGCCTTCCAGTCCCTTTTCCATCTTAATATTTCAAGGAAATTCCAAATACCAGTTTCAGACCTTTAACACTAGAGCTCCACACAGGCTCAGTGAGAACAGAACCATTCCGCAGAGAGAGAATCAGCTTTGTTCTTTTGTGGGGCTGCTGAGGAAGCAGTCGGAGAGGAGGGGACCGCAGCCTCGAAGAGGCCAGGGGCTGGGAGTCAGACAGATGTGCGTTCAGACCCCACAGCCACCACGTGTGGATCTCGTGGCCTTAGGCCAGTTCCTTCCCTCTGAGCCTGTGTCTCGGTTGTAACTAGTGTTCCTTCCTCCTGGGCTTCTCAGGAGTCAAATGGCACAGTCTGGTCCACAGTCAATATTCAATGCAAGTTCTCTTTGTGCCTGCTTCTGTCCTTTGTCCATAGAATCTGATACACTAATGGGGATGAAAAGTGCTCTGAAAGCAGTAAAGTCATATGAAATAAACATGAACGTTGCACCTCACTCTTGGATGGATGTGAACTGGTTATGTTTGCTCCTTCAGGTCATGATGCTGATCCAGAATCATCCCGTCCCCGTGATCGCCATGGTGAACGGCTTGGCCACCGCTGCTGGCTGTCAGCTGGTTGCCAGCTGTGACATTGCCGTGGCCAGTGACAAGTCCTCATTTGCCACTCCAGGTGTGAACATCGGGCTCTTCTGCTCCACCCCTGGGGTGGCCTTGGGGAGAGCAGTGCCAAGAAAGGTAATCTGACCCCCTGCAGCCTCCTCTCTAGTCGTAACCCTCACGCACTGGAGGGCTGGTTCCAAATTCGCTTGTTAAAGTACCATTTGAATCAGGATGTTCTGCACGAAGCATGACTGGCTGGATGTGCTGCAGTGTTCCTTCTAACGCCTCTTGTCCAGCGGGGAATGCATGGCTCCTCACAGGGCACTTCACTTCTTGAATCATGCATTTCGCTGTTGCCTGCCCCTCTGTGTGGCTAGCTAGGTTTTTGGATCTTTTTGTTTGTCTTCATAAAGGCACACATTTTTTGTACTCTTATTTGAAATGCAGTTGAGACAGTTTTGTTGCACACAAAAGGTGTCCATAACATGTAATAGCATGGTGGCATGCCAGTACCAAGAGGCTCGGATATGAGTGTCACTGGCTGATTGTTTGCTGACAGCCTGTCGTATTCTAGAAAGGGCTGAAGTAGCTGCTACACTGAGCGTGTCAGCTTTACGATGGTTGTATTTCAGGGGCATGGAACATCTTGAGCTCAGCATGTTGAAGCTGCCCCAGGAGCCATATGTAAACGTTGTTTTGTCCTTGCTAAATCCATTTTCTTTACAAAGCTTTCTCCCTTCCTATAAGACATAAAACAATATTTATTGAACATCTTGTGAGTAGAAACCAGTGGCTTCCTTGTTCTAAAAAAAATATCTATCTTCATTCTCAATTGGAAATTTGTTTTTAAAAATGATGGGCGGGGGGAGGTGTCATATCATAGGTGTCGTATACATTGTCGTATAGCAGGTAGGAAACTAAATTGCCTTCTAGGATATCGTCCATTTAGCATCTACAAAGTCAGCAGTTCTTCATATGCCTGAGGCACAAAAGAAACGAGACCCAGGCGAAATCAAGCCACAGGGACGGAGACATTTAGGGAAGCACGCCTTTCTTTCACGCTGCTTCCTCATTAGCTTTTACAGAGGTGTGTGCTTTGGCCGATGTTCTGAATAGAGATACCTACCAGCGCGCGCGCGCACACACACACACACACACACACACACACACACACACGAAAACTGGCTGAACGTGGGCTCCACAACTACAGTAAGTGGCCGGCCAAACACAGAGCTTGCTGAAATGTGCTCAGCCCAAGGGGGTGGTTTCATCCTGTCAGGATTCACACTGACTTTAAATGTGGGGTGAGTGTGTGTGTGTGTGTGTGTGTGTGTTCCCTACTTTGTGCCAGTACATTAAATTAAAATGCGTTCATTAAAAACAGTCAGAGCTTATTAATAAACTATCTTATAATTGTGCAAATCAACTCACAAGGCCTTTTGCATACTAAAGGGTGGTTGTCTGGTTAGCCTGTCTGCAACTGTTCATCTTCAACCATGTTAAGGCATTTCAAACCTGTAAATCATGATTGCCCTGTCAGGATAAGAATCCATTCTCTCTTAAAACAAACTTTTAAAAATCAAGGCTTATCATTGAGTCCTAAAAACGTAAACATTATATCATATTTGTCAAATTTAAATTAGTTTTTGAGAAGAAAGAGAAGGAAAATGTGGCATAAACAGGACTTCAGTTCCCACAAAGCCCAATTCTCAGAATCACGTTGCATAATTGTCCAGCAGGAGAGATTAAAGGGCAGGGTGTTGTAAGACCAAAGTACTTTGTCCTTCCACAGAAAGTTCTGGCATTGCCAGGCCCACTCAGAAGACAGGAGAGGATTCCCAGTATTGTCCCATTCGGATCCCTGCTCTGTGCTCCTCCCGTCCTGATCCCAGGAGGCCTGTGAATCACTAGTCAGGCGTAGCATTCTTGTTTTGAAGTCTTCAGAGTTTTTCCAGTTCTAACAGATGTCCCTGCATGTGGAGCTACTTGGAGGCATAAGGCAGAGATATGGTTCGGGTCAGTATTAATGAGGTGAAATCACAGTATTGATAAGTGGAATTTGGTGGGGTGAAAAGCCTGTTGGCACTCAAGGCCTTTGCCAAGTTTTGGGACTATAGATCTTACCTGGGTGGCCCCCTTTAGGAGGAAAATTGGGGATTCATAAAGATCTAAACCTGAACAAAACACACCTACCTGTTGTCATTGCTTGATTGCACCCACAGGAACACATTCACACACAGGCCTGTGAACTGTGTGGGTGTTGGGCACGTGTCCCCATGCACAGCCACAGGGAAGCAAGCAGGTGGCTTTTGCAAACTGACCTAATTGGGAAACAGGGCCTTTTTCAGGCAGCTTAAGGCCACACATATGGGTCACCAGTACCCTCTGCTGGTCATCATGGAAAACTGCTTAGCTGTGCCAGAGACCAGGGCTGCAGCTGGTCCACTGGGAGCAGAAATGATGGCCTGGAGCCCTTGTGTTCAAGCCAGACTGAGCCTGGGCATGAATAATTTTCCACGATTGTAAAGTGTGAGTTAAATAATGTGTCTTCATTGCACCATATAAACAACCTGCCTGGTGCAGCTGCTCCCTTTGCCTATCTGAGCTGGCCTTGTTCAGAAATGTGGAGCTGGTGCCTCAGCGGGTGGCACCCCTGTGGAGCACATGAAAGATCCGAACCCCCTCCTTCCAAGCCAGTAATTTCTCTGCAGTAGGAACACTTGCTGCCACCTGTTTACCCACGGTAACTTGTGTGTCTGTAGAATCTGATTTCTCAGTTGTCTCATTAGAACAGAGTAGAACTTCCAAGCTGGAAGGAGAGTTAAGGCATTGACCCTCAGCTGGTGTGCAGTTCACCAGAGCCTGGAGAAATGCAGGTCTCAGCCCCTCAGACCGACTGCATCAAAATCTGCACTCTGTCAGTGATTCCTGTGGCTGTCAGAGGTGCCTTAGCCTTTGAGAACATGCTTCCTAATTTACTTATTTCTCTGGTTGCCCAGCCAATTAAATTAGCCCGGTGATCCTGTCAGCTTCATTCCCTTCTGAGTCCTCCAGCATCCCAGTCCCTCCACTGCCACCAGCTGGTTCTTGTCATCGGTGTGACTAGAGGGGATCTGGAAGACTGCTCTGCTTCCTGGGGCCATGATCCCTAAAACACAGCATTAGAGATTCATACATGTTTATAGCTGGAATAAGCATGTGAATAATAGCCACTGCACTTATTAGTGCTACTGAGTGCCCAGCACTGTAGAATAAACTGTATACGTTGTCTCTAATCTTAACCATTCTGCAGAAGATGGTGTTCTTCTTCCTGTTTTTCAGATAAGGAAACAGACTCAGATGGGTTGAATTGTTCCCTTAAGATCTGTGGTTAGTAAGTGGCCTCAGGGACATCCAGACACAAGCTCCACCACCCTAGGAGTGAGTGTTGGCCTCCAGTCCTTTTTATTGTTTTTAATGCAGATAGCTCAGGAGGAGGAAGTAGTAAATCACCAACTTGTTAGGGGGCCCAAAAAAGTACCCCTAAAATGAACAAGAGTTTATTAGGGAAAAGGAGTTATTTTCTTCTCTCTCACCTGAAGTTTCAGGGGCCCACTGGATAATAAACAGTAAATAAAGATTGTTGCTTGTGCACTATAAAATAAACAGGCTTTCTATTTCTTAGGGAATGCCGCTCTATCACCTAATCTGCCTGGGTAAAGTCCCCATAAATCAACACGGTGCCAAACGGTATTACCCCACTAGGCAGGTGAGGAAACTGAGGCCCAGAAAGAGGCATAAGCTAGGCGTGGGTGACTTAGGAAGCTAAAGGTAGGCCAGGAACTCTGTCCAGGCCTCTGGCCCTGACCCTGTTCCAGTCAAAATGTCTTTCACGAGCAGCTTTAAACCCGTTAAGACCTCCTTGGTCTCCTGGACAGAAAAATGTCAGGATAGCAGAAGCATAATCTAGTCTTGATTTTAAAACCATCTAAATCAGTGGTTCTAAACTGGGGGCTGCCCTGGCCGGTGTGGTTCAGTTAGGGTGTCATCCTGTGCATCAGAAGGTGGCAGATTCATTCCCAGTCAGGGCACATCCCCAGGTTTGATCCCCGGTCGGGAAACAACCAAACAATGTTTCCTTCACATCAGTGTTTCTCTCTCTCTCTCTCTCTCTCTCTCTCTCTCTCTCTCTCTCTCTCTCCCCCCCTCTTCCTCTTCCTCTCTCTAAAATCAATTAAAAAGTAAATAAATAAAATAAACTAAGCAATTTTGGCCCCGGGGACATTTGGTAATGCCTGCTGCTATTTCTGATCATCACAAATTGGGAGTGGGGTATACTACTGGCACCCAGTAGACAGAGGCCAGGGATGCTACCCTGCGCAGGACAAAACCACACAACAAAACATTATCTGGTCCAGAAGATACAATGGCACTGAGACTGAGAAGCTAGATCTAAATGCTCTCTCACCGGAAGCTTCCAGGGCCCACTACATAGAAACTTAAACAGTAAGTAGAGTGTGCTGATGCGCTGTGTCTTATATATAGTATAAACTGTTCCCATTATCTCTCACTGCGTAACCACTATTCTTAGTGACTCAGAACAGCAGCAGTTTGTTTAGCTCATGAATCTGCAATTCGGACAGGGCTCGAGGTCAGTGAGGAAAGCTGATCTCTGCTTCACAGTGTCTGTGGCCTCAGCTAGGAGACTTCAGGGTAGGGGAGTGACAGCTGGGGACCGTCGGTGTAAGGCATGTTCACTCACGCTGGCTGCAGAGGCTGCCTCTCAGCGGGGACTCAGGCACTTAGTGCAGCCTCTGGGCGGTGTGGCTTGCGCTTCCTCAGAGCGGGGCAGCCGGGTTCTCAGTCTGCGTTGCCAAGGGAAAGAGCCAGATGGAAGCCGTATCCCCCTTTGACCTAGCCTTTAAAGAACTATAGTGCCACTTTGGCTGTACTGTTTGCCTTCATCCGTTCATTCATTAAATCATTCATTGATGACTATTTAATAGGTTGTCTGCCACATGCAAGGCATTCTTCTGATGCTGGAGACACAGAAATGAACAGAACACTAAAGAGAAAACTCATCCTGGCCAGCGTAGCTCAGTGGTTAGATGTCGACCCATGCACCAAAGAGTCGTGGGTTCGATTCCCAGTCCAGGGCACGTACCTGGGTTGCAGGTTCTTTACCCAACCCCGGTCGGAGGCGACCAATGGATGTGTCTTTCTCACATCAATGTGTTGTCCTGCTGCCGCGGCCCCCCTTCCCTCCCCACCCCACCCCCCGCCACCTTCCACTCTAGCTAAAAGCAATGGAAAAATGGCCCTAGCCGGTTTGGCTCAGTGGATAGAGCGTCAGCCTGCAGACCAAAATATTCCAGGTTTGATTCTTGTTAAGGGCACATACCTCGGTTGCATGCACCTCCCGGGCCCTGGTCAGAACTCATGCAGGAAGCAACCAATCGATGTATTTCTTTCACATTTTTCTCTGTCTTTTCATCTTTCTTCCACTATCTCTCAAAATATCCTCAGGTGAGGATTTAAAACAGAACACCAACCTCAGTCAAGGTTAGCCTGAGAGCATGATAAAGTGAAACTAAGCAAGCCCCTTTCTTAAAAAAAAAAAATAATAAAAGCCTAATATGCTAAGTGTCCAACTGTTCATTTGATCGTTCAACCAGTCGCTATGACATGCACTGACCACCAGGGGGCAGACCCTCTGACTGGGTAGTTAGCTTGCTGCTGGGGTCCAGCCGATAGGGATTGGGCAAGATGGGCCAGACACTCCCTGGAGCCCTCCCACGGTCCCTCCCCAGCCCCAATCGTGCACAGGTGGAGTCCCTCAGAGTGGCCTGCACCCTCTCACAATCTGGGACCCCTTGGGAGATGTTGGAGAGCCGGTTTCAGCCTGATCCCCACAGGCCAGGCTGAGGGACCCCACTGGTGCACAGATCCGTGCACTGGGCCTCTAGTAAATAAATAAAAGCAATGGAAAATTAATCCTCAGGATAGGATTAACAACAACAACAAAATAACCTCTGCCCTAGTCAAATTTACATGCCAGCAAAGGAGATAATCTAATCTATAATAATAAAAGCATACTATGCTAATTAGACCAGACAGCCGAACAACCTTCTGGACATCCTTCCAGATGACCTTCCAGAGAAGCTGGGGCTGTCCGGGCCAAGTCCCTTGCACGAATTTCGTGCACCAGACCTCTAGTAAACAAATAAACATGTACAGTATATGGTTTGTTAAATGATGAAAGTACAAAGGATTAAAATAGAGCCAGAAATGGGGTAGTGCTGAGGTTGGATCGCAATTTTAATAGGCTGGTATTGTCATAGAGTACCTCACTGATGAGGAGACATGTGAGCAGAGACCTAAAGGAGATGAGGGAACAGGCCGTGAGGCTATCTGGGGACACAGCATTGCAGTCCAAGGGAACAGCAAGTATAGGACTGAGGTGACAGCACACTTGGTGTGTTCAAGGAACAGCTAAGATGCCAGCTGGGCCGCAGGAGAGGGAGCAAGGGGAGAGGGAGAAGAGAGGCACAAGTGTTTCTTGTGCATCTGGGAGCCCTTTTTCTAAATCACATTTTAGTTTCAAAAAGCTCAGCTTTGTAGAATTAAAGAATCGGGGCACAGTATGGCAGGCGGACAGAACTGAGGAAACTGTAGTGAGAAAGGTGTACTCCCCCTTTCTGCGGGCCTCAGAAATCTGGGGGGAGAGGGTTCTGGAAAGAGGGCATTCTCTTCTTATAAGTTAACATCATGCTGGGCCCCTCCATCTGTCCCTAGAAGATGTTCCTTTCATTCCCCTCCTCCTCTGGGAGACGAGGCTGCTCTTTCAACTCAGGCTGAGGTGGTGGCTTCTCTGAACATCCCTTTCTTCTGGAAAATAACCACTCACTGCATTGGCTTGTGCAAGGCGACGGGCCTCGCTCTGCGGTGTTTTTAGTTTTGTCCCATCAGATGTGGCCGCTGTCCTGTGCGTGGCCCTTGAAAGAGGCAGCTCAAATCTCCTGCCTCTGCAGGGCAGGGAGTTCAGCTTAGGGAAAGAACAGGACGACACGGAGAGTCCCTCCTTCTCCTTGCTCTTGGAAAGATCCAGTCTGTTCCTGAGAACTGGCCCAGGTTGTCAGGAAGTCAGGACACCAGGACACCAACCATCCCCGCAGAGTGAAATGGAGAGGGTGGGACGTAGGTGGCAGGGGTCAGGAGGAGAGTGCCTTAATAACTGCCCGTGTTTCCTCCCCCAGGTCGCCTTAGAAATGCTCTTCACCGGGGAACCCATATCTGCTCAGGAAGCCTTGCTCCATGGGATGCTCAGTAGAGTGGTGCCGGAAGAGCAGCTGGAGGAAGAGACCATGAGAATCGCAAGGAAGATCGCCTCCTTGAGCCGTCCTGTGGTGTCTTTGGGCAAGGCTGCCTTCTACAAGCAAGTGCACCAGGACCTTAGAACGGCCTACCACCTGGCCTCCCAGACCATGGTGGACAATGTGGCCCTGCAAGATGGGCAGGAGGGAATCAAGGCCTTCATCCAGAAGAGAAAACCCGTCTGGTCACACTGAGCCGGCCTGAACAGAGGGATGGAGGGAGTGTGACCCAGTGAGCAGCACTCAGGATGCTCCTCGCCCCCCCAGCCACCACTGCTGCCTCATGACAGGAACAGCAGACAGACTGCTTCTGTACCATTAGTCATGGTCCCACTGCATGGGGTCTATATTCAAAGCCATGGTTCCTGGGAAAAGGATGAAACCGAGATTCAAAGGAGATGCTAATTTAAGGGTAGTGAGCACCTATGCTGGGTCAGCTGTGGTAATAAGCCTGGATTTTGATAAACTTCTTCATGGGACCTTAAGTGTGGGACCACCCCGACATGGGAGAAGGTGACGATAAAATGAAGCATGAAAGAAGGATGCCAACCTGCTTCTGTTATCAGAAATGTCCCGTACGGTGGAGGTAGTTCTGGTTGCCCAGACACACGAACCATTTCCAATCTCCATGAGGTAGTCTCCACATTGCACATTTTGGTTCTATTGAGAAAGAATCATGCCTATGGCTTTGGAATAATCTTATGTGACTTTAAAATATTAAGTATTTAGAGAGACTGGTATTTTATCTTCTTAACCAGAATATAAGCTGTTTGAGGAAAAAAATAAATGAATTCATTCTTTGTATGCCTGTGCTATGGACACAGAGTAGGTGCCTGATGTTTCTGTAGTGAATGTCCTGGCCATTGGAGCTACTGTGAAACCGGGACCCTGGGCATAACCTGAGGATAAAAACATCAGGATAGGTGGGAAGGATGCAGAGCACACGTCCTACCCACTAAAAATCACCTGCTCCGGACATGCTTCCAAACTCTGCTCAGCTTCTGGTGAGAATCCACAGTAGCATCAGGCAGTTGAGTTCCCAGCTGAGCAAGGGCTTGGCTTAGGACCTAAACATGCTACTTTCTGGCTTCTGGTTCAGGCTGACCCAAGATATGTTCTAAATCTCCTGTCCTCAAACTTGCCCAGCTTATCTTTTTTTAAAAATATATTTTATTGATTTTTTACAGAGAGGAAGGGAGAGGAATAGAGAGGTAGAAACATCAATGAGAGAGAAACATTGATCAGCCGCCACCTGCACCCCCCCCCCCCACCCGGATGTGCCCGCAACCAAGGTACATGCCCTTGACCGGAATCGAACCCGGGACCCTTCAGTCCGCAGGCCAACGCTCTATCCCCTGAGCCACACCGGTTAGGGCTTGCCCAGCTTATCTTACGTAGAGTAGAAAGGGGTCCTAAATGTGGTTAGTAACCAAAGACGAGAAACATGTGGCTCTAACCAGTGGTTCTCACTCAGGGCAAGCATTTCTTGGTATGATGTCCCCTAGTGGTTTCACAGGTTTCTATTCAGATTGACATGTTTTTGTGTAGGTTTTTTTTTTCTTTAACAAGTTTAGGAAGGTTAATAAAAGAGTTTTTTCTTGGAAAGGAAGAGCTTGTTCTAAGAGTGCCCCTCCAGAGCGGAAAGATCATTCGAGCTACCATCTGCTGGACACCTGACATGCTACATTCTCCTTCAGTCCTCACCACACCCAGGGAGCAGGACCTACAGTGATCTCCATCTCACATGTGAGTAGCTGAGGCCCACTTGGTCCCAGATCAAACAGCTGACACTGAGTACAGTGAGGGTTCCAAACTCTATCTGCCTGGTGAAGCCATGGATGCTTTCTCCTGGCCACACTGCCTCATGGGGAGGCCAGCCCGAAGAAGTGACTTTCCTGCTCCATGGCAGCTCTCCAATTAAAATAACAGACCAGGCACTCCTTGCTACAGAACTCTGCTAGTGTGCAGGGGACATCGGATTTGAGTTACTGGCAGACCACTAATGGAGTTTTTCTACAAAAGTAATAAAGAGCTGGCTGCAGTCCTAAAGTAGGTGGTGAAGGATGGAGCTGCCAGAACAGTGCTGTCAGTGAGGTCTCTACTGCACCCTCTCTCCAGGGGCCTGCTGTGGCAGTCACTGTTTGGCAGTGCCAGATCACACAGCATAGAGAAGGTGTTATAAACTCTCGACTTTGGAGAAAGTAACAAAGCCTTCTCACACGTTTGGCAAATGAAAAGCAAAGGTTAACTTTCCAGTGTCTGTGTGAGTCACACGATTCCCTCAAACCATGAAATCCTGGGGCCTCTGGGCTGCCTTCCCAGCCTATGAACTGATGTGCCCTCAGAGACTCGCTATAAATCTTAATAGTCTCTTGTGCATAAATAATCCAGAGTGAAACTCTGCTACCTACCTTCTCATGTCATATAATTAGCCCCAAGGCTAATAGAAATTTGGGGTTAATATGTATCTGCTTCCTTCCACTGGGACGTAGGATGAGCACTTTCTGCTAACGTGTCATGATGCCTCTGGAAAGTCTAGTATATTCGTCTTTCCCTGTGTCATTTCACTTCTCAGGGAGCTTTGCTGAGCTCATCCCAGCAGTCATCACCCCAGCAGTACAGGGGCTGGAAGGCCAGTGAAACAGGTGTTCTCTCCTGCTCACCTGGGCAAGACATCATTCCAACGGCTGGCCTGGGCGCTGGAAAATATAAACAAATGGAGCGAATGACTGATTAACTTTACGGGAGAGAACTCTCAGGCAGCCCAAAGGAGTAGCTCTTCCTGTGCCCCAGCTGTCCGGGAGTTCAGAGAAGTGGAGACATCTGCCACCATGGAGCCAGCACGTGGGCTTGGACCTGTATGGTTCTGAAGCCTGTGCTCCTGACTACCACACGACATTCCTCCCAAAGGCCTGGAGAGAGAGCCTGCCAGTGCTCAGTGGCAGCCAGTTGGAAATGGCACGGCCAAGGCAAGTTTTGCTTCCCAAAGAGGATTCGGAAAAGCGCAAATGGGAACACAAAGGGCGCTTAGTCCCAGGTTTGCCATCAACTAGCTGTGTTGCTGTGAGCAGGTGATGTATCCCTTTCAGCACTCTATTGTCCAGTCATAAACATGGCACCCCTGGACACTTTTCCTCTTGCTTCTGCAATACTGGTTTTGGAAACTTGTGTGAAACTTGAAATAGGAAGCTTTTGTTTGAAGAGAATGCTCTTTTATGAATGAGGAATATAGGCATGCCATTTTTACATTGAAAACACCTTATTACATTTGAGACCAAGAAGTCTGTGACAGACACAGAGGTTTTCAGGCCACACCTGAACCTTCTGATGTCATGGCTAGGAAGACCCTACACCAGACAGATCTCTATCAAAATTGGCAGCTATCCTTCCTTTGTCTAGGTGCATTACTCAGCCAGCCCCCTCTCCTCTCTCCTTCCTCTGAAAACCCACTGTGCTAAGAGTATTTCCAAAGTGTGGCCCATGGAAGGTCTGAACTGTCCAAGTGCAGACTCCTGAGCTCCTCACTAGACCTGCTGAATCATAAATTCTGGTTTGGGGACCCCAAAATATGCATTTTAAAAAGATTTCCAAGTGATTCTGCTATACACTAAAGTGTGAGCTCATGCACCAGGGCGGGCGTGACATCTCTCTCTGGCAGTGTCTACACTGGAGCATTGGGCCTTTGTGGTGACTTGTGAGCAGTCGTGTGGCCTGGAGAGCACTGTGAGGAGATGACACTTCCGGGAGCCCCGTAAAGTCTTCCCCTGGGGCAGGTTTCAGGGGCTTCCTCAGCCCTTGGTGCTTAAGCCTTTGAAAGCCCCACCTCCTATCACATTAAGCACCAGAACACACCCATATTCTGCAGCAAATATAATTCTAGTTAGGGAAGAAAATGGAATTATTTGCTTTTTAAGATTTTAAAAATATTTGATTAACAAACAATGATTATTTCTGGGCAATCATCAAGTAGGTAAAAGTTAAATTCAGCATTGAAATTGACATTTTGCAGTTAAAATATTAAATTTCAGTCTTGCAAGGGCTTTTCATTTGTATTTTGGGCTCAAAACTTATTTTTCAGGTCCCAACCAGAGACCCATGAAAAGCTGTGCCTGCAGTATTTCTTGAATGGAACACTGGCCCACCGGGCTCACAGTTAGCGGGGTTGGCTGTTCCACAGGGAAATGGGGATGAGGAGAAGCAGTGGGTGAATCAGGTGTCCTGAGGTTTATATTCCCAGCGTGCAGCCTTCAGACATCCTTATTGATTTTATATTGATATTTCCTTCAAATTTCCCTGCCCTGCCCAGGAATGTTTAAGCACAAACCCACAAAACAATTTTCAAGTTATTTTTACACATTTAAGAAATATTCCCATTTTATTTTATACTAGAGGCCCGGTGCACGAAAATTCGTGTGGGGGGGGAGGGGGGTCGGTCCCTTAGCCCAGCCTGCCCCCTTTCACAGTCCAGGAGCCCTCAGGCACTGCCCCCATCACCCTGCTGCTGCTGCCCCCGCATACTGTGACTATATTTGGAGAAAGGGCCTCTAAAGAGGTAATGAGGTTAAATGAGGATGGAACTCTAATCCAATAAGAACAGTGTCCTTATAAGAAGAGAGAGAGAGATACCTGGGATGTGTTGCAAAGAAGAAAGGCCATGTGGGGACAGAGAGAAGGTGGCTGTCTGGGAGCCAAGGAAAGAGACCTCAGGAGAAACCATCCCTGCCACACCTTGATCTTAGACTTCCAGCCTTCAAAACTCTGAGAAAGCAAATTTCTGGTTCAGCCTCCCAGTCTGTGGTATTTTGTTTTAGCAGCTTGAGTAGCCTATGTCATTCCCTCAAGCACCTTTGTCTCTGCCTCTCTGAGGGTGATTTTTGACATCCAAGAGCTTGCTCAGTGCTGGGGTCCTGCCCCAGCAGGTCCAGGGGTCCCCAAAGGTGTGGATGGAGTCGGCGAAGAAGGAATGACACGGAGACAGCGTTCAGTTGATCAGCAGCCTAGCCAGGATCTCTAGCCAGGATCTCCAGCCAAGTTCTGGTCTGGATCTCCAGCGAAGTTCTGGTTAGGATCTCCAGCCAGGTTCTGTGTCCATGTTCTCTTGCTAGGTTCTCCAGCCAGGTTCTGTAGCCATGTTCTGTCTCTAGGTTCTTCAGCCAAGTTCTCTCGCTAGGTTCTGTCTCTAGGTTCTGTTGCCAGTTTCTGTCCAGGATCTTTTGCCATGTTCTCTCCAGCGAAGTTCTTCTGTCTCTAGGTTCTGTGTAGGTTCTGTGTCTAGGTTCTGTGTCCTGTTGTCTTGTTACATCTGTATTTATACCAGTTGATTCCAATCCTATCAATCTCTATTCCAAAGGTTAGGGCGTTTCTTATCTCCATTCCAGGGAGTAAAGATTATGTAGCTTAAGCATGATTGTTCGTAGTTAAAGTGATTAATTACCCACCTGGCACTTAGTTAAGGGGTTTTATTCCCTCCCTAACTTCAGGGGAAAATCCCTACCTGGGGAAACAACCTTTCTCAGAGAGGTGACCTTGGTTAAAACACATAGTGCCAAGAAGGTGAGCAAACATATTAAGAACAGTATGCCATATATGCCAGGTCCTTTGAAACAGCAAGGATGGACCGGCTCCTGGCAGCTCAGCTTCCACAGGTCATCTTAGAAGTAGAGGGATATTGGGCTTCCAGGGACACTCCTCAAGCAACAACAGATACGAGTCCATGGATAAATGTCCCAGCCTTGCATCATCTGAGGGAACAATTCTGAGATGTGTTTCCTGAGAAGGCCCAGCAGGGTTGAGCCTCATTGCTCACAGCACTGACTTGCTCGTTAATGCAAACCTCATTGGTTTTTCTCCTTCCCTGCCTGACCGTGGCCCATGCCCTCACTTGTGCTTCCTGGGGTTACTTTCCAGTACACAAAGTTCTCACAGTCCTTGATTTGGTGTCTGCCACTGCAAGAACCCAAACTCCGTCAAGAAGTGGGTTCAGCCCAGCCAGGGTGGCTCAGTGGCTGAGCGTCAACCTATGAACCAGGAGGTCACCATTCCATTCCAGGTCAGGGTACATACCCTGGTTGTGGGCTCAATTCCCCAGTGGGGAATGTGCAGGAGGCAGTCGATCAGTGATTCTCTCTCATCAAAGATGTTTCTATCTCTCCCCCTCAATAAAAATATATTTTTTTAAAAAAGAAGCAGGTTCATATTAGCCGCTCAGTGAGCACCACCTCCCCTAATAAA